TCTAAATGTTGACAAGATCCAGAAACAATATCTTACTTTTTTTCCACTATTATAAAATATTGTAATATCTTTACACATTAAAAAAATAATTCCAGCATACAATATATGTTTGTGTAGAGAGTTCTGTCACTGTTAAAATCACTTCAGAGACAAAGGTGTTCAACATAAATGCTGCATTTCCTTAAAAAAAAAAAAAAAAAACAAAAACAAAAAAACCTGCATTTTTATTTAAAATCTAATTCAGTTGCTTGGAACAATGCTGAAAATAGAAGTCTGGGTACAGAACATACTCATCTTGTTTTCAAGTTAGAAAAGGATCTGTATTTTTGTTTTGTTTAAGCTTTATCAGCACTTTTGCAACGAAAATAATAACTGCATTCACTGAATAAGCACAGTATCTCTGGAATGAAACATACTGTTTTACTGGCTACATCCCAGCTTCAACTGTGAGGCAGAACTGACACTTATCAACACAGCTATGAGAGTAGATTCAAAACAAAAGACAACATTGCTCAAATATTATAGCAATTTTTTTGGGGAAAAAAAAGTCATCTAGAATTACTGTTTCAGTATTTACACTAACTTATGTGGATTTACAGTGTATAAGGAAAAAGTGGTATGTTCCTGTTATAGGAGTCAGACAACATAATTTGTGTTAAAGTTACACAGAATCATGTTTAAAAACTTTAATATAGACTCCAGACATAAAAATTGGCATAAAARTTGAGGCTGTTCCTATGGAGCCAAGAAAGACCTATTTGCCTTTGAAATTTCTATACTGTGGCTTTTGTATTCTATTTCCCACATAGCAGTCCTGTGTGTGAACTCCTCCAATACAACGTGTGCAGCACAGGGAGCTCATCAGTGAAGCATCCTGCCTCCATTCTGCAAAACACTTGAAAACAGTCTTTGGAGCTKTGCTTTATTTGAGCACAGATATCTTGCAGATGTTTAATTTAAAGCTCATGTGTAGTCCCACTGAAGTAAATGGGATTACTAAAGTACTTAAAGTAATTCCCTGCTGAATCAGGCTTTTAAGAGTAAGAATAAATGTGCCTAATTTTTATTCATGCATCAGATATCTATAGACTAGTAGTTTAAACTCAGCAGTTTTGTATCCAGTTAATATTTAATCTCTGGAGTTGGTGTATCTTCACCKGCAGCATCTACCATCCCTATAGCAAGGACCTTTTTAATATAACCCTGCAGCACAGTTTTTGCATACATACTTTGTCATCAGGCATTCATGTTTTGCATACATATAGTGTCATCAGACCTAGTGCTGTGATGACTTTTTTGTAAATGATAAATAAACTGCACCTGGCCCTTGTATTTTCTGAGTGTTACATACATGAAAGATTTCAGGAAARAAYTCTTGTAATGYAAATTAAAAATGTAGTGGAAGTAATTCCATTAACTTTGGACAAAAGAGATAAACTCATTCACATAGTTAAAACTGCTTACTTCCTGCATCTATGGAGTRGTAGAATAATTTTTAACTTAATTTTGGGAAGAAGGAATGAAAGCAAAATCTGTGGGTTCAAGGTATTTAACACATACATGCTAAAGATTGAATATGAGCGTTACTTACACTATGGCCAGAAGCAAATATGAAGTGGCATGAAATGAAGTTGAGATTTGTCAATGTAAAATCTGTCAGGAAAAAAAAAAAAAACCCAAAAAAAAACCCAACAAAAACTAACAACACCAAAAAAAAAATCTACAACATCAGCAATGAGACACCTGTGGCTTCTTACAGCATCAAGACCTGACTAAGTGATGCTAAGAGTTCTCTGCAAAGCATTTCTATTCTCACATCTATTAAAATATATCCCCCGCTGAAAAGATAATAAGAGAAGGCTGGCARTGATGAATTCATCTTGTCATCAAGCATCAAGTTCATTTAAATTGATTACCTCATTTAAATGAGTACACCTGGAAATATCAACTACATGCAAAATTACCACTGATTTTAGCATCATTTGCAGGTCACTAAAAAAGAATGCACTGACACACATGTGATAACAGAAGAAAAATAATAAGATTCCTTCCTAAAATTTTCACTGTTTGTYTCTGGCCCATCCCATCTTATTGGTTCAGCTAATCTAGTATTAAAACCTGGAAAATTTTAATCAAGGGGATAAAACAAAGGACTAATAGGCAGATGCCTGTTTGATTATGCACTCGTACAACATCTTCTACTGTACAGATGTAAAAACTTAAGGCAGCCCCAATTTCCTATAGGTTTGGGATACTATAACAGACATTACATCAACAGCTTTAGGCATAAACAATTCATTGCAAAGTAACAGTACAGTAACACACACACATCAGGGTGTGTTACTGTACTGACCTTGCAATTACCCAGGTCTTTACAACAGAAAATCCAGTTATTCCCCAATACTGAGCCAAAAGTGACATCCAGCTTGGCAAAGGACTTGCACAACTGTGATTATTGTYTAGGCCATCAGACAGAGGGACAAAGCTTGTTCTTCAAAGAAACAGCTCAAATCTACAGATGAGCTGGGCAAATCTCCCATTCCCTCATCAATGCACCTCTTGCACTGGCRAGTTGCAGCAGCAATGTGTGGATTTGCTAACCTGTCTTCACACCCCATCTCTCCTCCCCTCAGCACTGGCTGTGTCCCAGCTGTGCACAGGGCACAGGAGTGTTCTCCAAGGCAATACTGGCTTTAAACCTCASTTGTGCACACAGCATCCAGACACACCTTGTAAAGCAACACTTTGTCCYACAACAGACACACCCAGTGCTCAGCAGCTCCAGTTCAACCAGGACAATTCCTCGTTGTCTTTATGTGCTTCATAAAAATCTGGTCATACAATAACATGCAGTTATGTACAGGCAACATGAATAACTAGTTAATTGTATACCAATATCAGCTATTATGCATGCTGATTTCCAACAGGTAGTCCCCCRCACCCATATAAAGTATTTCAATCTTCTGTAATTCTGTTTAAACATGACAGGGCTTTATCTTCCTTCAGAAGAAAGTAAACAGGAAAAAAATTATTAGAGTGAAAATAGTAAACTCCTCCAAGCATACGTGTCATCACCACGATTGTTTCCAATCTTTKTCTTGAGGAAGAAATGCAAGACATTTTAGGCATAAAACCCAAWAAGCTCCAGCAATATTCAGAGAATACTGCACTACATCTTTTTCAGCAATCCTACCCACTGCAAMATTTTCAGACTTCCCCTCCATTCTCAATAACAGTTTTCAAAAAATATCACATTGCAGTGAAGGTCTCAGTCCTTAACTTCAGCACACATTGTAGCCCTGTCCAACAGCACATGAAAACTGCATGTCTGTGCTACAGAAATAACGTTTTTGTCTGGTTTTCTACACTCCAAAACTATGGAACAACATCTTCTGGACTCAAATGGGCATTGAAAGCTTCTCTATCTTCTCATGAACAAGGCACAAGTCTTTGATTGTGCCTTAGTTTTTCTTTGTATGTACATGTTCAAATGTGTGTGCAGAGTCTTCTACCTCCACATGCTCCAGCACAACTAGAAATCCTTACTGGCACAGAAAGAAGGCTTTGAAGCACACACTGTGATGAGACAACAGTCTCAGTTATGATGCCCAATGCTCCTATGGGAAGACCAGAAATATTTCGGCACTAAACYGTACAAATGTGGCATAAAAATGTACACACAGAAGAGTGTGCTGTGAAGCACAAAGTTTGAAAATCTGTTCAAGTTATATGGGTATGTTTAGTGTGTGCAATACTTTCATTTAAGTTTAAGTCAAAACTGCTTATATCTCAGGTGAATTTAGCCGATTTTTGAAGCCTAACTCTTTCAACGTCTAATGATTTRTATCCAAATCTTTCATTTGCAATTRTATTTCTGCTTTTATTYATCACTACTAACATAGCCATTKCTATTTCCCCACTTTTCCAAATCATCTGTGTCGATAGTACTCATGATCAATAAATATGATTTATGCTTCTAACAAAGAACTTTTTTTTTTTTTTACACTTTGTTCCAGTCTTGGTGTGTAACTGCAAAAGAACAAAAACCTAAGATGCTGTGACAACAGTATTCAATCCTTTCCCCGCTATCCTCTCTGCTGTTTTTACGCTTGCGTGTTTCTCCTGTAATTTGCCCTTATAATTTTTATCTGATTATCAAATATCTGGCAAAGGAGTACTTGGCAGGATTTAGTGCTGTTCAGTCGCCTGATAACCGCGGAGCTGACGGTATAATGAGAAGCTCCTAATGAAGTTCCCAGCAGTGCTGTCCCTGAAAGGCCTCGATAGCACTCACGTTCTTTTTGCCCCGTACTTCTCAACCCGTGGAACTWGGTGGGCTCCACATGTGACTTGGAAAAGGGACAAAACACAACTCGGCTGTGCTCTTCAAGCACAATTTCAATTTAAAACTCGTCTTCAAGCTCAGGGCAAGTAAAAAATAAAGAAATCAAAAAGAACCAAACCAAAACTAGTAGACCTCGGAAGCCCTCTCTTTTTGCCTACTTGTTGCAGGTGCTAGCAGGTGTAGCGGCAACCTGCTCGGGAACGCGAGGGGCGGGCAGCGCTGAGGCGAGGCAGGGCAGGGCAGGGCACGGAGCCACCACCGCCCCCCGGCCACCGCGGGGGCCCCGGCCCGGCTTGCGCGCTCCCGGCACGCCCCGCCCCGGGCCGCGCGCGTCCCCGACCAGCGGGGGGCACGTTTTCCCGGGAGCAGGAGGCACACGGAGACCTCCCCGGGAGCAGCCGCCTTCGTCCGGTGGATCCGGAGGACGACCGCACCTAGGAGCAGCGGCCGCGGGCGCAGCCCAGCCCGGCCCAGGAGCGCGCACCTGCCCCGCGGCAGCGGCGCGGCCACACCGGGGGCGGGCCCGGGCGGGAGCGGAGGGGCGGGCGGGGAGGAGCGGGGGGCGGGCGCCTCTCGCCGCCGCGGGGCTGCGGCTGGGCTGGGCGCGGGCGGCCAGCCGGCGGAGCGCTCGCAGTCGCGGGGAGCGCCGGGGCTGTCGGTCGGGCGGCGGGCGGGAAGGGAACGCGAGGCAGGAGCAGTAGGGAAGGGAGCGGAAGGCGGGCGGGAGGCGGCGGCGGCGCCGCGCTCGCCCCGCTGCCCTGGATGACGGGCGGCCGGTTCGACTTCGACGATGGCGGCACCTACTGCGGCGGCTGGGAGGACGGGAAAGCCCACGGGCACGGCATTTGCACCGGGCCCAAGGGGCAGGGCGAGTATGCCGGCTCCTGGTCCCACGGCTTCGAGGTGGCGGGCGGCTACACCTGGCCCAGCGGCAACACCTACCTGGGCTACTGGGCGCAGGGCAAGCGCCACGGGCTGGGCGTGGAGACGAAGGGCAGGTGGATGTACCGCGGCGAGTGGTCCCACGGTTTCAAGGGGCGCTACGGGGTGCGGCAGAGCCTCAGCACGCCGGCCCGCTACGAGGGCACCTGGAGCAACGGGCTGCAGGACGGATACGGCGTGGAGACCTACGGGGACGGAGGTGGGCGCCGGCGGGGGGCGCCCCGCGCGCGGCGGCGCCG